TCTCTCTCTCTCTCTCTCTCTCTCTCTCTCTCTCTCTCTCTCTCTCTCTCTCTCTCTCTCACACACACACACACACACACACACCCACACACACATCAGGCATTCAGAGGAACACTCTCACGAGAGTCATCATCGGAACCCTCTGCAGGATGAGACGGAAGACAGATGTCTCTCGTGGTTTCACGGACTTACGACGTCCTCTACCACGTGTGGCAGGCTACCGCCCTCGTGCAGAAGGTGGTCGGCCTCTGTCACGTCTGCCTCGTCCACCTCGTCCACATCAATACGCAAGAGGATCCCATACAATCTCGGGATGTGCTCCATGGCGGCTGAGCAGTTGTGAAGGTCGTCCACGGCCAAAGAATGCATCCATGGGCTGTTGCTGCTGCTCCCCCTCGGGCTCTGGTTGTTGGCGCTCATCCTTTGCTAGTGCTCATCCTCTGCCTCGCCCTCTAGCTGCTAGTGCTCCCCCTCCTGTTGCAGGTGCTCCAACTCCTGCTGCTGGTGTTTCTCATCCTCTCGCTGCTGGTGCTCGTCTTGTTGTGGGTGCTCCGCCTGCGGCTGCTCCTCCTCCTGAGGGTGCGGATGGTGCTCCTCATGATGCCCCTGTCACGGTTGCTCCCTCTGTGCATGTTAGTCTCTCAATCGATCACTGAAGTGTGCGCCCAACACATATGGATGGATCTCCTCCCTCCTCGTTCACGATCTCTCGGAGTCTGACCTCTTGTCCACCCACTCATCGCCTGGAACGTCGTCCTCATCCTCATCACTCTCATCCTCCGCATCCGCAACATCCTCAACCTCGTCCCCCTCTGCAACCTCCTCTACCTCCCCCAACCTCTGCATAGATGCCGACATCGTAGTAGATGGAGCAAGAGCAACGTTGGTGTTGCCTGTAGGAGAACGAGTGGCCGTTCCACCGACCTCATCGTCATCACCGACATATGTGACATTCGTTGTGTCACCCTCCAAGTCCTCGTCCACCCAATCCTTCTCCAACTTCAACCACCCTCCTGCAATGGTGGGCCCATCCTCCCCCCTGCTCTTGAGCCTTAGGCTGCAGTGCGAATAGACCAGCTTCTCAGCGTGTTCATGATGCAACTTGTTTCTGGACTTCGTTTGTATGAGAGTCCATGTGCTCCAATTCCTCTCAGCCGCAGAGAATGTCGTCCATATGGAAAGGACTTCGACTGCCAACTCCCTGATCTTTGGATGCCCAACACCGTGCGCCTCCCACCACAACACATGATTGTCCTTTCTGCCCTCCTCAACACCGCCGAGTCGCCAAAGAGTCCCCTCCCAAATTGCAAGTTGTACAACTGGTCCTTGTAGTAATTGAACATTTTTGACCCCTTCTTCCTGATCAGTCGCTGAACACTACTGTTGAAGTGCGTTATGAGCTCGACGTTGCTGAAAACTGCAATGTCCCTCAACTGAGGATCCAGTAGTCGTGCCATTGCATGTATGGGGCTGAGAAGCATGCCAGTCTTGTTGTCGACATTGAGGAGGACAGCATCTCGGTCATCTGCAGTAAGGGGGGAAGAGCGAGCAAAGCTCTACAGGCAAGAAACCATGTCGTAGATGCATGACAAGCAATGGACGTCCTTGTCCACCTCTCTCAACACATCGTATACGCCCCTCAGCAAGAGAGTCAACTTCTTGATATCAGCCCAAACGTCTTTGTCAAGAATGAACTCCTCGGTTGTGTACGCTTTTGCTTTGATTTCCCCTCACCACACCATACTCTCCCATGGGCGCCCGCCGCCAAGTCCCAATACGCACAAGCACCCTCTCTCACACATGAAGTCTGTACAACATCACGTAGTGGGTCCCAAACCTCATCAATGCTGGTTGAAGGAGACAGCTGGCTTTCAACTCCAGTTACTTAATCAAGTGTCTCCTCAAGTGTGGATGTGGCCACCTATGAACCCTGAAGAAGTTGACAATTTTGTTCACACAATCAATTACCTCAACCACCCATGTCTTGTTGCAGATGTTATGCAGGAGCAGGTCCATGCAGTGGGTTGTGCAAGCAATGCAGTAATCTGACTGAACTCTGGATCCTTCCTCAACATCCAAGTTGCACTCTTGTTCCCCGTGAACAGCTTCTTGCAGATCGTTGTGATCTTCTCCACCCCAAACTCCCTGAAGAACCGTTCCACCCCGCAACAACAGCAGTTGCATCCTTGTCCCCCACACTCACATCCTCACACTTGACGAAAATTGGCTTCGAACGTCCTGCAAGGAATCCGATGTAGTTCATCAACGATCACCCGCAGATGTTTATGGTGTCATCGTCATCAATTTTCTCCTGGCTCGGGTTCTTTGTGTACCTCACGATTGACGTTTGTTTTGCTGGTCCACAAACTCGGGCCTCATTTTGCGATGGACGCGACCCGCCTGCTCCATGGCCTACTGCATCGCAGGTCGCAACCTGAGTGCTCCAAGCCCTCCAATGGCCACCATCCCTTGTCCACTGTTGGGCTGCTCACAAACTCCCTCATCAGAGTCTTCTCCAATCCCAAAACCTCCTCCACCAACCGCTATAATATCTTGCATGTCGATATCATGCTCAGATTTGTTGCTCTCCTCCTCCATCACACGATGCACCCTCTCCAGCAGGTCCAGAGGCAACCCCCAACCAGCTCTGTGCAATCTCCTCGAAATGGCAATGGTGGCATGAGGTTGCATGGAGGATGCCCTATTAAAAGTGAAGTGCTCACACGCCCGTTTTCGCTTGCCGCTCCACTCGCACTGGCGCAACCTGCAATGCAACGTTCTTTGTCCCTTGGCATTCCCATCCAAGATCTGACCGGCCTGCACCCATGTCCACACACAGTGGTCACCGCTGAACTTGGGATCCACCGTAAATGGCTCCTATTTAACCTTTTCCTCCCCGACGCTGCTACTCGTCATGATAATTCTCGAAACACTCGCAGTAGTTGATGTTCCGGGTCGTGACGTGAAAGATTTTAATGTAGGAGTTGCTGACGTTATCGGTGTGAATACCCTTACAAGGGTATCCACCCTGGTTTTTACAGGTGACGGGAAACAAGTTTAGTTTAAAGCTTATTTATACCACGCGAGGCGCCACTGTGTGTGGTTTACACTGGCTGGATGATTGACGAGGGTACAGAGTGTGTGGACGCACAGATTTGAGGCGCGCGTGATGTTTTTATTTTTTGTTGATGATTGAAGAGTCGGCGTGATCGCCGGCCAGATCTGTGTTTCTGATTAAACTAGGATTAAAGAGATTTTGTCTTTTGATTGTTGTGCTTACATGTCGTTTGTGCATACGAAGGGCGACGTTGACAACGGTGTAGTTCTAAAAATGTTTCGGTAGGTCTGCACGTCGCGCAGTATCAGTTTATTTAGGTGTTCGTCAGAGCTAGACCCAGCCTTGGACCTAGCACTATTGGTTACAGTATCGGACTACCATGGGGGAGATTCCGGGATCGAGACCAAGTTGCAACAACGTAGGAGTATCGGAGCGGCGAGGAGCCGCGGGGTTGAGGGCCCGACGAGGAGCCGTGGGGTTGAGGGCCCGGCGAGCAGCCGTGGGGTTGAGGGCCCGGCGAGGCTATCCCCCATGGTTTTGGTCATCACAGGGTCAGTTCTCTTTCCTTGTCTTATGGCGATAAGATTTATTTTCCAGAGCTATTATTTCGTTTTATTTATTTTGTGATTATTATTATTATTGCGTTTTTATTCTTTTGGAACCAAGCGCGACACCGAAACCGGTGGGTGATTAACTCTCAAGGCGGAAGGACCTGAGTGGCATATGCCCCTGTGAGTACGTCGTCGGCCAACCGTGATCCGTCGAAGGAGGTCCGGGTGAGAACGTGACCACTGGGACCCAAAAGGATGGTGGACTATGCGTGAGTAAGGCAAAGTCAGGGAAACTCTGGCGGGGACCTACAACGATTCTGACGTATAGATCGCTCGTTAGACTTGGGTATGCGGACGAAATACATGGGAAGGCCGTGGGGCACGGATCGTTGTAACCAGGGAGCCTGAGTTAGGTGTCGACGGTTGTGTTAACCAGGTCAGGTTCAGCCTGTACAACCGTGAACAGCAGCAATGCAGATCCGGGTTCGGATCTGAGCTTCTGCAGTCATGTAAGTGGGACTGGTGTTCGTCCTTCGGGACATCCGTTAAAATTGGAACGGTGCAGAGAAGATTAGCGCAGCCTGTGCTCAAGGGTGACTTGCACATAGTAAGTTGCGCTTTTTTTAACCTAACTTTAGAGATGAACCGAGTCCGCGCGCAGTACTATCGGGCGGAGTGGCACTGGGCACTGTGGCCGAGGCCGTAGCGGTACTGATGGGCTAGTTGTTTGTCGGACTTGGGTAAAGAGGTGAAGAACTTGTAGGATCGATTGTTAACCGGTTTTCCCTTTGAAGTTTTCTCAAAGGCGGTAGACTTATCGAGCAGTCCTGGCAGCTATTTCCTTCCTAAAGTCCCTCGGGGTAGTTAGAGATATTAAGCGGAGATCGGTCGCTGCGAGGTCCGCTACCATCGGGTGGTGCACTCAGCCAAAGAAGTGAGGAAGACGGTCGCGGGGGCGAGCAAGAAGGGAGAATGGATCGAGGCGAGTTTTCAGACCGAACACAGTCAGGGACATAAGTGATGGAGGAGCACGGTGAAGGGAGGGAGAAGGACGACCCTCGCTCGTCTGAAGGGTGACTTTAGAAAAGCTGATTTCGAGGTTTCAGCCCCGTGCGAGCGCAACTGTAGTATTGGATTTGGTGATGGATTAGTAGAAAAGAAGGTTAGTAGAAAAAAGCGTGCGCGAAGAGTGTCGGGGAAGGCAGCGAAGAGAGGGAGAAGATACGGATTTCCCCCGTTACTTAACGGATTAAAGCGAGGAAAAAAAAGGATCATGAGGTTTGGGCTAGGGCGATTCTGTTAGTAAAGTTAGTTTTGCTAAAAGATTATTGGGTTAGGGGCTATGGAGAAAAAGGACTGCGCAGTATAGACAGCGGGGTGTTGGGAATTACCAGTATATAATGGGATGAATCTATCCGATTTTTTTGCGGTAGATTCATTAACCTTGTAAAATAAAAATAAAAAGGTTCAGGATAAGTGTAGGAGGCTCAGCAAGCGCAATAGCAATATCTTTCGGTTGTTATGGTAATAACCGTCGTCATATCCGTTATCAGCAGCACAATTTTGATCGCTTGGATCATCATTCCCCATGATAGTCTTCTTTCCGTAGATGGTCGTTTGCCCGCTCAGGCCCGCTGACACTAGATAGGCTCAGCAAACCAGTTCCTGCGCGCCCGGCACATCCTCCGCTGTAGAATCGTGGCGGTCGTAGCACCTACCCGAGTGACTTCCATCTTTGTTACGCACTTCGCAATGGTAGCAATACGATCTCTTCGATCGTATTGCCCATCCTCAAATCTACGGGACCGTATTCCTACTGTCGTGATCACCTTCACCTTTCGTCTCCCGACTGATTGGACCTGGCCAACTCAGCGACCATGTGAGTTTGAAGGTTGGGTACGAGGCACGGGGGGGGTATGTCGTTGATCGTGGAGCAGTTGGCTACTAAGCTACCACATACTGAGCTATTGTTGGTGCAGCCGTAGGGGCTGACAATGCGGACGGCTATTCCTTGTGTGTCGCGGAACTCTACAACTGCGACCGCTGTGTTCACCACAGTTTGCCGCATGAGCTGGCTGGCAGAACCAGTAGAGTCTTTCTCCGGAGATTCTATCTCAACGCTTATTTGACAGAACAGTGTTATGGGTTGCTATGAGCACCACTGAATGACATAGGGTATACTTTGCGGTGCCCACTGTTGAGTTTTGCCACAAGAACTGCAGTTCCGTCTGCTATCCAGTGCATTGCTCATTATGCCGATGAAACTAGTTGGAGGTTTGTCGTGAAGATTGTAAGCTCTTCCATAGCTGACATAGTTTGGGATTGGGAGTTCGGTGGAGGGATTGAGTTGTTGAAGGGGATTATTGCTATAAGTTAAGGTCGTCAAGAAGATCAACAACAAGCGATTTTGATTTCACGTTGACCAAGCTATTGTTGTTTTGTTGGTCACCATTGCGGGGCCCTCAGACGCATGAAGGTGCCAAGGCCCTCTCGTGCGAGTTTGAGAGCACCTCTCTTGTATCTGAGGGTCTTAATGTCTCTTCTTCTGCCCTTCTAACTCTAAGTCTAGTCTATTGGTTCTGAGAGGAAGGTGGCAGGCGGGATTGCAACCCATAGGACCGCAGTAAAACTATGTGGGGAGTCCACCCACCGATTGTGGGAGCTCTGTCGGAACCTAGGCGAGGTTCTGGAGGCAGGGAACTATCAGACATATCTCTTTCTGTCTGTATGACCCCACTGTAACCCTGTTTAATTATTTCCTCTTAGATTGACTGATTGTATGCATGTGTTTCCCTATGACTTTTGCTTTCTTTTCAGGACTCAATCAGACTGAAGAGAAGGAATATGTGTGACAAGTTTAAGTTTCTTCTTTACTTTTGACTGAAAGCAGACTAAGGGATGAATTGGGAGAAGGTGGGAGGAAGGCAGTTTGCATGCGTTTGACTGGGAAAACCAAGGAATGGGTATTGTTTCTAAGTTAAATGATCCAGGGCTATGTTTATTTGACTGATTTCTTAAGTATCCGGCATTGTTTCAAAGTTGAATGGCCTGGTTGTTGTGCTTATTTCTAAGGGTTTGCCTGGCTGATCTCTAGGACCAAGCATTGTTTCTAAGTGAATGGCTTGGTCCGTCTGTTTCTTTTGGGATTTCTGACTGACGGTAGACTAAATAATCCAACTTCATGCTTTGAACGGTTTGAGGATAGGCTGAACATTGTTTCTAAGTTGAATGGTTCAGTCTTTTGTTTATTTTTTAGGGAGGATTTCTTGTCTAATGCTAAGCATTGTTTCTAAGTTGAATGGTTTAGCCTGAAAAACATACACATAAATATAAACTGGGTATAAATAGAAAATACTTTATCTATACTTGCATAAGAACTGGCAGCTTGATATTATTTCCAAGTTGAGCCTTCGGATAAAGATGCGCCAAAACCCACAGGTCCCAAGGAAGCTCTGTACATCCGTGATAGATTTAAAAGGCGTCGGTCATTCCAAAATTTTATTTGTCTTCTTTGCAACTGGCCGACAACCCTTCTCATCACATAAAAATCCCAAAATTGTCGCTTCGCACATGCAATGTCTAGATTTGACACCGCTGGCTGTGAGGTAATATTCCTTGAGCTTTCGCATAACCTTTTCCACATCGCGTATGTGTTCCCAGACAAACTTGCGAATGCTTAGTAACACCTTTGTTGCATCCTTCACACGAGGTCCTAGAATAGCCAAATCATCAATACATGGTGAGGTCACATCAGGACAAAGTGGTTGCATGACCCTCATCATATATCGTTGTACAATAGCGATGGTATTTGTCCAACCTTGAGGTATTGAACACATATGAATCAATCCTCTAGGCGTATGCATTGCCGTAATTGGTATGTCTGTTGTATACAAAAGGAATTGATCGTAACCTAAATACAAATCAATCAATGTGATAATGGACCTACCTGCACATGATTCTGACAGTAGGTCTGCATGTGGAAGTTCACCTGCATCTCGAACCGTCACTGCATTTAACCTTTGCAGATCTTTGACTCATCTGAGGAAGCTGTTTCGTTTAATAAAATAGAACCAAGGAGATGCATATGGTCCATGAGAATAATCCGCTACTTTT